TGTCTAATGTATTTAATTTTTCTTCAAGGATTTATTCTTTACCGACTTACTAACCACTTTACCCTGTTCACCCTCACTCAGCAGAGCAAAACATAACTAAACTCATACAGCATACCTCTCTCAGATATTATCAAAGTTTATAAACAGCCAATCAGACATGGACCTCTACCTACTCACATCTGCAAGATCCAACTGAGACAATCAGAGATCCCCTGCTACATGTGGCCCCTGCTGTCTAGTCACCATACTTAATCGTTTAAGACACACATTATTCAATGTGAACCACCGTCAATGCACCATGTTAGCCTAATATGAATGCATCATCTCAATACTCAGTCCACTGAGATGATGAAATTAGGAAAGTCAAAATCAGAGAACTGGATTTAATCTTTTTTAAAGCAGTTGTGCAGGGCTGTAGTGTGAAATTTTTGGCAAGGTGTCCAACAATAAAATTCCGTAACAACCAGGGCATATTTCAGCCTTGTGAAATAGAATACTTATTCTTTTACTTTGTTTCGGTTGTAGATACCCATGTCATTCATAATATGGACAGAAAAAAAAACCCACAAACATTTTCCAGATTCATAGAAACAATGGTGAAAGAGGACTTCATGCAAAAAGCCATTAAGTTATACAGTTCCCTCCAAAAGTATTGGAACGGTAAGACCAAGATTAATCTCTACCAAAGTGATGGAAAGGCCAAAGTGTGGAGAAAGAAAGGAACTGCTTATGATCCGAAGATTACAAGCTTATCTGTGAAGCATGATGGAGGTAATGTCATGGCTTGGCGTGCATGACTGCTTCTGTAACAGGCTCATTAATATTTATTGATGATGTAACTGATGATGGTAGCAGCAGAATGAATTCAGACGTGTACAGAAACATTTTGTCTGCCAATTTAAGGAGAAATGCGTTGAAACTAATGGGGAGGAAGTTTATCATGCGGCAGAACAATGACCCAAAGCACACTGCCAACAAAACAAAGGACTTCATCAGGGGAAAAAAGTGGAAGGTTTTAGACTGGCCAAGTCAATCACTTGACCTGAACCCAATGGAGCATGCATTTCACCTCCTTAAGAGGAGACTGAAGGGAGAAACACCGCGAAACAAACAAGAACTGAAAGAAGCTGCGGTAAAAGCCTGGAATAGCATCACAAATGAAGATTGCAACTGTTTGGTGATGTCGATTAAATGTTATTTACTTTAAGATTATTTGTTCCATTACTTTTTACTTTTGCTCACCTAAGAATGCTGTGGTCTAATACAAACGGTGATATTTCCTAAGTCGTTTAACACATCTAGATGTGAATACTAGGAAATAAAAGCTGAAATTCTGAACTCTTGTCTCATACTCATCTTTTGATCTTAAATCCAAATGTTTTCAACGAACAACAAAAACAAAGGAATTTGCCTTACCGTTCCAATATTTTTGGAGGGGACTTTAGGTGCTAGCAGAACAGAGGCTAGCAAGGAGATGGGTCTGATTTTCAGAATCAGAATTAGAATCAGTTTTATTGCCAGGTATGTGTACACATATGAGGAATTTGACTCAGGATTGTACATTGCTCACGATGTTCTTACTTATACAATAATACCATAACACAATAATAAAATAAAATCAGACACAAACTACAGAATAGACAACACTAATATACACACTATGAACAAAACAATATAGACATATTGACAAATAGTGCAGTGATCAGAGTGCAAAGGATGCAAGAGTAAACTATTATTCTCATTATGTACATGTTGAAGGCAGATATAATATACAGGTACACATACACATACATGCATACATGTACACATGTACACCGTGTGATCAGTGAGCATAGTGCAAAGGATGCTGGAAAAAATAAATAAGACATATGACCTTATGACCTGAGGTAGGTGTATTGGTATACAGTATATACAATGACATAGTATGAACAGCACTGAAATAGAGAATGGTGAATAAATAAATAATAAATGGTAACCAGTAAACAGGTGGCTGATTAGAGACAGAGTTACTGGGTTATTGCACAGAAATTGTTCCTGACACTGTGAGTCAGAAATCAGCTGTATATCAGAGTGATGGCTTGTGGGAAGAAACTGTTCCTGAGTCTGTTGGTGTTGGCTTACAGTGCTCTGTAGCACCTACCAGAGGGGAGGTGCTGGAACAGGTTGTGTCCGGGGTGAGATGGATCTGCAGTGATGTTTCCTGCCCGTTTCCTGACTCTGGAAATGTATAAGTCCTGAATGGAGGGCAGGTTGGCACCGATTATTTTTTCTGCAGTCCAGACTCTGTTGTAGTCTGCTATTGTCCTTTTTGGTGGCAGATCCAAACCAGACAGTCATGGAGGTGCAGAGCACAGACTGGATGATGGCTGTGTAGAACTGGATCAGCAGCTCCTTAGGCAGGTTGAGCTTCCTGAGCTGACGCAGGAAGTACATACTCTGCTGGGCCTTCTTGATGATGGTGTCCGTGTTGGGATCCCACTTTAGGTCCTGGGAAATAGTGGAACCCAGAAACCAGAAGGATTCCACAGCAGACACAGGGCTGTTAAGTATGGTGATGGGAGGCAGAGTGGGGGAGCTCCTCCTGAAGTCCTCGGTCATCTCCACAGTTTTGAGCGTGTTAAGCTCCAGGTTGTTCTGACCGCACCAGAGAGCCAGCTGATCAACCTCCCGTCTGTAGGCCGACTCGTCACCGTCCCGGATGAGGCCGATGACCGTTGTGTCGTCAGCGAACTTCAGGAATTTGACAGATGGGTCTCCTCAGGTGCAGTCGTTGGTGTAGAGGCAGAAGAGTAGTGGGGACAGCACACACCCCTGGGGGGCGCCAGTGCTGATAGTCCGGGGTGCTGGATGTGATGTTTCCCAGCCTCACCTGCTGACTCCTGTCAGTCAGGAAGTCTGTGATCCACTGACAGGTGGAGGCTGGCACAGTGAGCTCACTGTACCAGCCTCCACCTGTCAGTGGGTGAGTTTGGTGCTGAGGGATGATGGTGTTGAATGCCGAGCTGAAGTCCACGAACAGGATCCTTGCATATGTCCCTGGAGAGTCGAGGTGTTGCAGGATGTAATGCAGACCCAAGTTGACAGCATCATCCACAGACCTGTTAGCCCTGCAGGCAAACTGCAGGGTGTCCAGCAGGGGGCCTGTAATGTCCTTCAGGTGGGCCAACACCAGTCTTTCAAAGGACTTCATGACTACAGATGTCAGGGTCACGCGGCCAGTAGTCAGACCAGAGATGGAGGGTTTTTTGGAACCGGGATGACCGTGGAGCGTTTGAAGCAGGAGGGAACTTCACACAGCTCCAGTGATCTGTTGAATATCTGAGTGAAGATGGGGGCCAGCTGGTCTGCACAGATTTTCAGGCACGATGGAGAGACATCGTCAGGTCCAGGAGCCTTCCTTATCTTCTGCCTTTGGAAGAGGTGGCTCACGTCCTCTTCACAGATCTTGAGTGCAGGTGAGATGTCAGAGGGGGAAGGTGACTGTTTGAAGATGGTGTTGGAGTGGGGGAGAGGTGTGACTCTGGGCTTTTCAAACCTACAGTAGAAACCATTCAGCTCGTCTGCCAGTTGTTGAGTACCAGCAGTGTTGGGGGATGATCTCTTGTAGTTTGTGAGTGTCCGCAAGCCACTCCACACTGACACGTTGGCTGCAAAGCTGTTATTTAGATTTTCAGCATAGCACCTCTTTGCAGCTTTGATCTCTTTAGTCATTGTGTTCCTGGCCTGGTTGTACAAGACTCTGTCCCCACTTCGGAAGGCCTCCTCTTTGGTTTGACGAAGCTGCCTGAGAACCAGGGTTTTTGGTTATTGTATGTGCGGAAGGTTTTAGTCGGTTTTCTTCAACACTGTGACGTCTGTTCACCAACCTTCGTTTATATAGAAACAGAGTCCACCTCCCCGTGTTTTTCCCGTTAGCTCCCTTTCGCAATCCGCGCGGTTGAGATTAAATCCCGGTAGGTGAAGTGCGCTGTCCGTAATGCACTCAGTGAACCAGGATTCGGTGAAACAGAGGGCAGCAGATCTGCAGAAGTCCGAGTTAGTTCTGTTGAGGAGCAGCAGTTCGTCCATTTTGTTTGCCAGAGAGCGGACATTCGCCAGGTGGAATGAAGGGAGCGCAGTGCGAAATCCCCGCTGTCTTAGTTTAACCAGCGCACCTGCACGTTTTCCCCTGTGACGTTTCCGGAGGATCCCAAACAGAGCTGCTGCTTCTTCAACTAATATCTCCGGGAAAGTTCCAGGGTCAATAAAGAGCGGTGGAATAGTATGAGCAGTTGAAAGTCCAATGTTTAAGAGCTCTTCTCTGGTAAAGGTTACCAGAGATGGACGGCAGAAAACAGCGTTAATTAACAAAAACACAAAAAGCACTACGGAGCGTAATCCCGAGGCGGCTGTCTGCGGCGCCATCTTGGTTATCAATAGTGCACCAACAGCATCAGATCTTTGTGAAGTCACATTGTGTGAATTAGTCACATATAATGCTGAAGCAACCACTTCAGAACGCTGCTGGACAGGAAATAGTATTTAACACATTAGCATGCTAATGACAACACGCTAACTGTGACATACTGATATTTACTACATAGTAAAAAATTCTCAATACCTCCGATTCAGAATTACAACCAGGAGGCTTGTACAGTTTGTAAGCTGTTTACAATGGTCTGGATCCCCTAAACATGGCCTACTTTATAACATGTGTGTGGAAATATGTCACTAGACAAAGTGTTGGACTAGGGGTAGCCAAACAATGGAGAACAAACAGTCAGCTTGTTTTCACTCCAACCTGCAGACTGTTGGCTCTAATCATACATGGTTGCCACCCCATGGTTGGAGCAACGGACTACGATAAAAATTATATTGAAATTACACCCGGAGAACGGAAACTTTGGCTTGAGCTTTTATATGAAACATATTCTCATCTTGACCGCAAACACGAGTAATAATATAAGTTCTGATCCATTGCTTGTAGTTTCTTTCCAACGCTGTTTTTTCTGTGTGCATAGCTGCCTTGGGTGCTGAGGTGGAGGAGCGGCTGGTGAGTCACCTGTTGTCAGCAGAGCGCTACAACAAGCTGATCAGACCAGCTGTCAACAACAGCCAGCAGGTCACCATTTACATCCAGGTGTCTCTAGCCCAGTTGATCAACGTGGTGAGGAAACACACAAACAAATCCAAATTCACATATGCTGCTATCACAGAGGCATATCCTACTAATTTAAGATCATTCAAGAGCACAGATGGTGGAGATTGTACCTATTAGGAGTGAGTTCAGTCACAAAAACAGCAGCCATACTTTCAGTCATCCACAAACCTTCTGCCTGTCTGTGTTTCAGAATGAGCGGGAGCAGATCATGACAACCAACTGTTGGCTCAGTCAGGTTTGTGTCCCCAATCGTCCTTTTGTTCTCCTTTGTCTGTAAGTGTGTGCATGGGGCTCATGCTATGCCCAAACTCTAGCTCTTAGCGGCACAAAAAATGTCTGACTCATATTAGTCATTAACACACACACACACACACACACACACACACACACACACACACACAGAGAGATAGGGGCTGACTGAACCAATGTGTGTCATGAACTGATATGTTTCTGGTTGCATGGCTTTTGAATTAATGTATTTCCTTGTCTGTGTGTGCGTGTGCACTTCTTCATCAGGTATGGAATGACTACAGATTAATGTGGGACCCTGAAGAGTACGAGGGAATCAAGAAAATCCGGCTCCCGTCACAACACATCTGGCTCCCAGACATCGTACTCTACAACAAGTACGTCTGATTTGTGAAAGACAGCGTGTGTGTGTGTGTGTGTGTATGTGTGTGTGTGTCTGTAAAACTAAGTGATTAAAAGAGAAACAAACAATGAGCAACTTTATTCAAAAGCATAATTTTCCTAAAATGATTTCTCATATCCTCTTATTCCTGATATCTCTCCTTTTTTATCCCACTTTCCACCTTTTTTAGAATAATGAATCCAACCAAAATGTTTTGTTTAGCATTGTCTAGACTGCGTGCAGACAAGTGTGATCTTTTAAGGGATGACTGACAGGTACATATTAAAATGAATAAATCTACAGGCAAGACAGCGGTGCATTTAGTCACTCCTTTGATGGACGAGGCCCACATCAAGTGATCATGTCTTACATTCACATTTGAGCAAAACATGTAGGCTTTTCAACAGCAGTTGTCTTACACCTTGCATTTGAGAGTGTATTTCAACACAATCCAGCTGCATTTCACAATATAGATTATGAATATTGCATCAATACAATCAAATCATAGCCTTTAAAATCAAAGTGTCAATAGAAATGTACTATAACAACATCCCTGTGCATTATCGTGTGTTTTTGCATATTGAGAAGGAATGCACAAACAGTAATCTGAGAATATTTTGACTTTGTGTGCAAAATCTAAAAATCAGCTGTACAAAACAGCTGCAAGGGAAAATGGATACTGGGGGAAAAAAAGCCACCAAAGGAAACTTATGGGTGGAAATACCTTAAAAAAAAAAAAAAAAAAATAAAATAAAATAATATATATATATACACATACTGTATATATATTTTATCTTTCACATTTAGTCCATTCGTTCTTGACGATTATGCCACAGGTTCTCATCAAGATCGCATTGAATGTTTTCCCTTGCAATGCACCGAGGGAAATACCTCCTTGCATGGCATATCCAACCCTGGCAGCCCTCTGCACCTATTGCCAGGTAACCATCATTCATTGCCTCCAGGAGGGGCATCTGCTCATATGGCCGGTGATCATACACCTTCCACCTCCAAGCAGAGAAGAACTCTTCGATTGGGTTCAGAAAAGGCGAGTATGCAGGGAGGAATTGCATCATAATAGGAGGCTGTGCTGCAAACCATTCATTCACAAGGCGAGAGTGGTGGAAAGCCACATTGTCCCAAATTATGACATACGGAGTCATGCCAGGCCTCAACAGCCCTCTCTCTTCGGGTGGAATCAATATTTATTTCAATGCATCAAGAAATGTGTTGAGGTGTTCTGTATTGTATGGGCCAATAGTTGGTATGTGGCAAAGGACTCCATCATTGGAGATGGCAACACGAATGGTGATATTGGCACCCCTCTGACCTGGCACGGTGACAGTGGCCCTCTTCCCAATGAAGTTCCTGGACATTACTGTATGACAGTCACTTAAATGGGATTGATAAAACATCTGCATTACTGTAGACAGTTTGTTCTGCTAACAGGGCAATACAGTAAAACTGAAAAACACAGTGGTATATATGACAGTAACACTGTGAATTACCTGTTCTCATTCCAAAAAAGCCTGACAATACTTGCCACAGTGCTCCGACTCAGAAGGGGCTGGACCCTTTGTCCAGCCTCTCTAAAGGGACAAGCCATGATTGATGACATGGTCAATAATTGTTGCCTGAATTTCATTTGAAACTTGAGCTCGATTTCGTCCTCTTGCTGCTGCAGCTCCTCCACCACGCATACAAACTCCTCTTCATCGGACCCCTCTGCCATGGCCTCTTGCTCTCCTTCCGTGCCTATGGCCTCTTTGATCCATGCTTGCAAATAGCAACACAGAGTGGCATCTTTTATAGATGGATGAGGACTGATTGCTGATCGAAGAGTTGTGCAAATGAGTTTCACACAGGTGCATAGAGATTTATAATTATGCAAGTGCTTTCAATCAGCTGTGATTAGATGTTTTCCTTTTGTTCAACACAGTGAATGCAATAGAGTTTGGGGTGTTTCAATGAGATCTGTGGTAACTGTTTTGACAAAGGGTGTGAAAAATGTGTGAAACAAATGAAAAAGTGTTGAAACATTTGCAATAGAAGACTTTTGCTGTGCTAATGATGTGATGATGAAGATCAAGCGGATCCCAGTTTCATTTAGTGTGTCTTAGCAAATGAGAAAAACTGTAATCTGACCTCCAGAAGTCACTCAAACAACTCAAAATAGACTCGTTCAACCAAAACACTGGCAACAATTCTCATTTAGAAAGCATACAGTCTCACTCATAACACACTGACCTACAAAGCACTAACAACAGGAAGCATTATCTAAATTTGATTAACTTTATCTTCAAAATGTGACAGATCTTTCATATAAATCAGTATTTCATATACAATTGTTCTCAGACACTTTGGTACATTTCTCAGATCAGAATCAGTGTGAAGAGTTTTGACAATGTGACTTCAGTTTTGACCAGCGCAGGTTAGCAATTGAAAAAAACTGTAATTAGTCTGCATAATCATAGCAGCCCCAAAGCATTAGAGACCAAGTGTGATGGTTGGATTCTTGACCTACTTCATAATTGATAGGCCACTTATTTATAATGCATCACCTGCAGTACTGGTGAGATGAAGAAAAAAGTCAGTCTCAGCAGATTTTAGATGGGGGCGGGGGGCAGTTGTTGCCATGTTGGGATGTGTCCCAGGCTAAGCTCCTCCCCTGGGATGATAAACACATCCTTTAACCTTTAACACACATAACAGTTGCATGTGTCACCTATGCAGACACACGGTTACCATCATGAAATCATTTTCTCAACACGCCATCAGTCAGCACAGTAAATGGATTTTACAGGCGAGGAAGTAGTTCTTGATACTGTTTTTCTCTCTGTCAGTAAACCCAACAGCTGCACTGATAGCAATGCTGACTGATATTACATAGGAGCCGAGGCTAAAAGAAATGAGATGTTTGGGGTACGCCTTCATGCTTAGATATTTACAGACTGACTGTCTCCGCTTAGAATGCAATACATGTGACCTCAAATCCCAATGGGACTTAGGTAATGCATTTGAGTCTAAATATCCAGCATATTGACTTTATGCCAATTAAAGATGTCCTTATAGGGAAAGACCATACACAGTATGGGATAACAGATGGATCAAGAAGCCTTCTTCAGATTTGGTTTGGTACTACATTGTGTCTGCACTCTGTGTAAACATTGCTCTGTAAGACATCTTGAGTTTTCCTGCGATCTTCTGAAATAAGGGTTGACCTGCTGCAAGAACTTCACTAACAATTGCTTCACAGGCTCTTTCACAATTACTGGCTTGACTACCAGCTTCCTCCACCATCCCAAACTCTTCCCTGAAAGAACCTGTTGGTGTTGTTGGTTTAACTACAATTTAATATCCATCTATGTGCATGTTAAGGGAGGATTAGTTTCACTCAGTGTTGGAAGAAGTGTCAAGATTCTTTACCCAAGTTAAACTATCAATCCAACAATCTAAAAATAACGAGTTAAAGTCCTGCAAAGAATTATCAGCAATGTGTACTTAAAGTATAAAATACATCCATCCATTTTCTGACCTTTATGTCCAGGTTTTGATTTAACTTAGACTTCCTTCACTTGCCATTTCCTCCAGTTACCTCTTGGTAACCAAAGAATTTCCCAGCGTAGATTGGATATATAATCCCTTCATGTGTTTTGGGTTTGCCTCAGGGTGTCCCTTCACGTATCAGTAAGACCACGTGTGGAGATGATAGAGCTATGTGTTTAAATGAGTGACAGATAGTCCATGAACACGATTTGCCCTGATCCTTCCAGTAATCAGTTTCTCATTGAGTGTGTTGACTTTGTTCTTTTGTTTTTGTCCTACCTTTTCCTCTTCTCAGTGCTGATGGGACGTATGAAGTCTCCTTTTACTCCAATGCCGTGGTCTCCAACAACGGCGAAGTGGCCTGGCTCCCACCAGCTATCTACAAGTCGGCCTGCAAAATCGAAGTCCGTGATTTCCCATTTGACCAGCAGAACTGCACCCTCAAGTTTCGCTCCTGGACCTACGACCACACTGAGATTGATCTCATCCTCCTTAGTGATTTTGCCTCACGTGATGACTTTAAACCCAGCGGTGAGTGGGATATAGTTTCACTGCCTGGACGCAAGAATGAAGACCCTAATGACATCAAGTACCTGGATATCACCTATGACTTTATTATCAAAAGAAAGCCTCTGTTCTATACCATTAACCTGATCATTCCCTGCATCCTGATCACGTCACTGGCTATTCTGGTTTTCTACCTCCCGTCAGACTGTGGTGAGAAGATGACTCTCTGTATCTCTGTCCTCTTGGCGCTGACTGTGTTTTTACTCCTTATCTCAAAGATTGTGCCACCTACGTCTTTAGCTGTGCCTCTGATTGGGAAGTACTTGATGTTTACGATGGTGCTCGTCACCTTCTCCATCGTCACCAGCGTTTGTGTGCTCAATGTGCACCATCGGTCCCCCAGCACGCACACCATGCCTCCTTGGGTCAAGCGCGTCTTCCTGTACCGGCTCCCCTCTTACCTCTTCATGCGGAGACCCGGTAGCTCCAACATCCGAGAGAGGTTCCGGAAAAAACACCAGCAGCGATCATACTCTGACCAGAAGCTGCGTGGAGCAGACGGAGGGACTGGAGGTGCTGCACGAATGCCAGATTCCTCCTCATCCTTCTTTGTGAACGAGGAGTCAGCCAAACACTACGGCTATAAGATCAGAGACTTGTCAGAGAACACAGACTTCAGGAAGAGGATGACGCTCAAGAGCAACATTGACGTGGAGGATGCAGTGGATGGAGTACGCTACATCGCTGAGAAGATGAAGAGTGAGGATGATGATGAAGGGGTAGGTGAATCTGTAATGTGCATGTGTGTCATGAGTCTAAATATGTGCAACATGCTTCGAAGGCTTTTCCATCGTATGCTTGCTTTTTTGTCACACAATTCATTTTTCCATTCTGACATAGGTTGCTTTTTTTTATTTCTCAAAATTTACATGATGGATTGGCTCAGCATTTGGTACAGACATTCATGCCTCCCAGATGATTTATCTAATGACCCTTGTGATCTCCTAACATTTCCCGTAGCGCCAACATGTGGTTTACATTTATATAAAATGCAACAGCAACTATTGGATGTATTGCCATAAAATGTTGTACTGGCATTCAGGTCGCCTTTGGGTGAAATGTAACAACGTTGGTGGTCCTCTGACTTTTTATCTAGCTGCATCATCAGGTGACTATTTAAATTCACCCAATACTTTTGTTTATGACCAAACACTTGCAACTAATGACATCTCTGTCAGCTTCAGCTGTACTTTGTGTTTAGTGCAAATTACCAAATGTTAGCATGCTAACATGATAAACTAAGATGGTAAACATGGTAAACATTATACCTGCTAAACATCAACATGTTAGTATTGTCATTGTTAGGATGTTAGCATGTTGACATTAGCATTTAGCTCAAAGCACCACCTGTTAGCCTTTAGGTCTTGTAGAAGTTAAATAATCATTTGTTTTGCAGATTAATAGTGACAGAGCGATTCATTTGGTAAAATAAATACTGTACATTCTTAACTATTTTATAACTGCAAGGACACAATCTGAACAATCTTTCGGGTCTGAAAATGTTGATTTTCTTGGCTGTACCATGTATGATATGTGATAAATTACTTTATATTGTCCATTATATGTGTTTTACACATAATTCCATTTGGAGTGAGTGCCATAAGCTCAATTAAGGACCTAGTTATTGTGTATTTCTATAGGAATTACACCAAAGTGTTGTCAGTGGTGATTCATTTGAAGTTTGGCATTAGGAAATTAACCATGACATTTGCAACGTCCTTAGAAGCTATGACATAAAGTGCCTACCCTCAAAGTAAATCCATCAATAGCTTTAATTCAATGATTTGTGAATTTGCACCACTTAATATTATGTCACAGCAATCACTAGTGTTTTAGCCAATAAATAATTGGCTCTAGAGACAGAAATGTATGCAAAATGATTTAATCCAATTTCATTTCATTTAGTTCCGGACAGGCAATATTTAATATCCAACCTCTCTCTGCAGATCATTGAGGACTGGAAGTACGTGGCCATGGTGATCGACCGTCTCTTCCTGTGGATCTTTGTGCTGGTGTGTGTGGTCGGGACTTTGGGCCTCTTCATGCAGCCTCTGTTCCAGAGTTACAACACGCCCATTCTTGATGACATGGATCATAAATGAAAACTGAAACCAGAACTTTGATCTCAACATGACCCAGACATGAACTCTGAGTCCCCCCAGAAACAGAGCTCTGACAACATTTTAATACATTTACTCACACTTGTGCCCTGCACCACATTATCACTGGGAAATGATAATTATGAACTTTAGCCCTCTTCCACATCCTGCTCCTTCCTTACTTCCACCCCTTGCCCTCTTCATTCTCTATCCTCTGATCCACTCATCTGTCATTCACAGAGGAACTTGGCTTTATTTATTTCAGTTAACTTAATGGATTTAATGATGGTCTGTAACAACTTGTGTTTTGGCCATCATTAAACAGGCAGATGAAGAATCATAGAGATCATTATGTTAAACGAGGAGACCTAGATACGTGGCAACATTGCTGGTCAACTGAATAGGGGATGCTACACGCTATGTGCCCCAGCCACTCGGTTACCAGGACACCCCCAGATTAGCCAAACTTTGGAAGATAAAACAAAGCCATTTATTCCAAAAATGTCTGATGTAAAATGTAGACTTTGGTGTGTTCAATGATATCATAATCAAAATAATTAATGGCCAAAACTACAAAAACAAGAGCCAAGTTATAATAAACCAGAATTACCTTTCAGTTCAAAATGTGAAGTGGAACCACTTGTCAGCCATGATGCTCTTTCTTGATGATCCATATAGATCTGCAGTTCTCCAAGGATTGCAATGTAGTTTTATTTTAACAAGAAATCCCATATGCAAAATGGTCATGTTTAAAGTATGTTGACCCCCCATCACTGTTCACAAAGGTTTACCTGGCCAACAGCATCTCAGGACTAGAACAGACTTGGTTTTGCTCTTTTCTACAGTACTTTCTGTATGTATGTAAATCAAATTCTAATGGCCCTAACATGACATTATGGGGGCTAGCATGTACACAACAAGGCACTATTATTTGATATTAAATATTTTTATTTTTGTTAACTCAAAGAGAGAAAGAGCCCAAAGATGTACAAAGCCACAGAAACTCACATTTTGCAGAAATGGGCTTCACATTGACAACACATCCCCTGAAGAGATGAAGATGAATCCCTTCTGTGTAGAAACATAGAAGAAGATCACCTCTCTGTGTCCTTTTGCCAATAGCACACATACGACATTAATTTATAATATTTGCCTTGAAAAAGAGAGCGAGAAGGGACACAAATCAGCTAACTGTTGGACTGCTCAAATAGTAATTGATGGGTGTGTAAGGGGGTGCCCAGCCTGTTTTTACCCTCACACACACACCTTACTGTGTGGACCTGAAAAAATCGTTGATCAAATCTATGACAAGCTGCTGCTGTGATGTTCAAAAGCAGCTGTTTTTAAATAAAGGAGGGGTGTTACAATAGTGCTAAAAAATATCAATTCAACACCATGCTTCTTTTAAAGGTACAGTACCCTGGTTTCATCAAAGCAGTGCTCATCAGCATCCATCACCAAGGAAACCAGCAGCAATAAATATTGTACTGTATTTTATACACACTGACCTGAAGGAAAATTAGCCAAACTGTCTGGCTCTTCAATTGCGAGACGTTACTTGAATCTGTGTCCAGCAATTATTTCTAAGAGATATTATAACTCGTCACTGTCATAACTCACTCATCTGTCACTGCTACCAATGTTAGCCAAGGAAAAGGTGTGCTGTACTAATTCAGCTGTATTGATTTCTTTCATCTTTGTTTTTTCAGTGGATGGCATGAAACATAATTTTTCTTTTTCTGAGTTCTGTCTGTCTAGACGATAAATGCTGCGAATTACAGGTTGAGATGGGAGCTGATGTCTTGCTAACCGGATCAATAAAGGAAAATGACAACAAGCTGACCTGATGAATCACATGAACAACATTTTAAACCTGTCTCAGTTTCTATATACAGCTAACTAACTCTTCTCCAGTTCATCTATTACTTGGTGTGTGCATCACCTTGTTAAGGATGTGACAAGCATCCTCCGGGCTCTTGTCTCTCCCCTCACACATTTTCACGTTGAGATGATTAAAACTAAGCACAGTCTCCAGGCAGTTTGTATTTTGGACAGAAGTTTCTGGAGTGCATGTGTATGTGCTCTTTGTGTATGTGTGTGAACTGTCCAGGGCTAAATGTTAGTCAGCTGACTAAAGCCTCGTTAGACAGTCTAATGTCCCCGGGGGATCATAAGTTCGCCTTCTGTTAGCTTAAGATGGCAGTGAGGCGGTATGACTGCTAAAGGGACACAGCATGTGAATGAATACACAGATGTAAATAATCAAAAATCTGGAAAGTCTTATGTGTTATGAAGGTTTTCCCTCTTTATCAGATAGCAGCTGCTTCCTGAACAGTGGATCTGGACGTAAAAAGGAGCCAGAGGCGTTGTTGATTACATGCCACTGATAATCACATTTCACACATTCTAACTTTAACGTTAAAGTTGCAGCTACTAAGTTGATGTAGTCGTAGTTTCCATTAGTGTCTGCATGGATCTTTACGGCCCTTGATTATTTGTTTTTCCAGAGCACAAACGTACATGAGCTGCTGTTTTCCAGCAACTGCTGATACTTCCAGCAAAGATACTACTGCATCATAATTTTCCAGCTGACATCATATCAGTCACACACACACGCGCGCACACACACACACACACACACACACACACACACACACACACACACACACACACATGCTCAGAATCAGTGACTACAGTGACATAATCCTACAGATGTAGTGACAGCCACTGAATTGGAGTTTGGTTCAGCAATTAAAGCTCATAGTTGTACCCCCATCCTCCCCTCCTATGACTCATAAATTAGATGCTTGACATCTGCATCAATTTCCATTAAGAAAGGGGCCACATGAGGGTGGAGAGGGTTAGAGGGGCAGATGGGTGAGGTGATGTTGTTGTGGAGGGTTTCTAAACATAATGCAATTTTTATTTCCATTACTTTCTATTGCATTATTTTCTCTTTTCTGTTAATTACAAGTCAGAATCAGAGTTTACACCACTTTTTTTCTGAATCTCCTAGAAGCTAATAAGTCATTAAAAGCTTATATAGAATATTTATTTTCTGCCATTATCCATTCTTTTGTTATGGCTGTTTCTGCTAACTCTGTGTCTGGAAGCAAGGAACTTCACCAGGATGACATGTGCTCACAAGAGAATTTGCACCCGCAGTAGGAGTGAGCTTTGAAGAGAAAGCAAGAGTGGTAATTCTTACCTACCTCTGTCCTCAAAAAACTGTAGGTTTAAAGAATCTTGATTTTAGCTGTGGACACACACTGTAGATTTACATCTATTTAACAGTGCACCAGTTCCTTTGAAGATGACCACCAGGCCCATTCTTAAAGAATAAAATATTGAGGAAAGAAATTGAAAAGTCAGCCAGAGAGAGTTGGTGTTATGGTCTCCAGGTCTGATCATGAAGCGTGACGGAGGAGATGAAACTGGTGGGAGAAGGTTTCAAGCAGGGTGAGAGGGAAAGCGAGAGAGAGAGGTATGAAAGAGGGAGACAGGGATGATAAAGGTCGGCCATAAACAAGAGACACAAGACGTTTGCAGTCTGTTAGGCCGGCAGAGGAGCCGACGTTAAAGACGGGTGGACACTGTGGTCAGAGATCAATAAGCATTTATTCTTTTCTGCAAGATAAACCCAAATACATGAAGACATATATAATATGCAGACATGCAAACATATACACACATGAAGGCACAGGAGGCAGTCAAGCAGTCATATTCAATTGAAATATGTATTTAATGTATGTTTAAATTTTTTTAATAGGATTTTATGGAAAGCAAATTTGTAAGGTTTTGTAACTCCCAGCCACAAAAGTTAAACTCTTATGTTGCTGTTTTGATTGGGTTTATGACCTCAAACTGGGATGGAATTATGGAATTATTTTTATTATATTATTTTTAGATTATGGATGGAAATGTTTGAGAAGTTTAATTGCATGTAATGTATTCCAAACAGTAGCTATTTAAAAAGAGGTAGAAATTAGGGAGCAATCAGTAGGTCAAATGCCATTCACACACACATGCACTAACACACACAAGCTACAACTCTCTGTCTGCACTGACATGTTTCTATTAGTCTATTCTCTCTGTTAACCTGCTGTAATCAAACCTGCGAAGCTGCATGGTGAATGTCAGCAGTATGATCTGTTTCCTCTACTCATCCGTTGCACTCCATCTCTCCCATTATCATCCACAGGACATTCCTTTAGGATTTATAACTGCCATTTCAGCTCTGTGATCAATACTTATGAACTACATTACTGCATTACAGAATGTGTATCTGCAGTGCAGTTGAATCAGGGCCATTGATTCTGCCCTCTGAGCCACTGAGTTTAGGAGATAGTCACGGAGCTTTGGTCCAAACATTTCGTAGGGTTTGGGCTAAGAGTTCATTCTGTAATGTCCCAGTCAGAGTAATACATATCTCCTCAAGTCTGCTACCTGCCCACATATCATGATGTCTGCTGCTGCTCACTAGTGGTCAAAAGAGACACTGCAGACTTCTATGTTTTTGAAAGCAGGGAATGATCAGTTATTGTGTAAAAGTTACAGATTATTTGTCACATATATATGAATTATGTACATCAAGGTATTATGAGATTTGAATGCTGTCAGATGTTTGTTAAATAAGAATTTAACAAACATGTTAGAATTTTAAGAACAACTGAATACCTAACTTTAAATTTAACCACTACTGATTAATTAACACTGAAGTTTAAATACCACTGAATTTTAAAACTATCAATTTGAATTTACATGGTTTGAATTTCCCTCTGAAACTGCAAATTCAGAAACTTTTTGGGAGTCACAATTCAGGGTTGAGAATTTCCAGTCACTCATCTGAACTTCTATGTCTGGGATCGAATGACAAAACATAGCCTGTTTGGACAAATGTTTGATCAGTCTGATCAATTCCATTCAAGCTGAATTGATTATCCTCTCTAGGTCTTATGTTCAGAGTTTGTATCGAGTTTCAACAATCCAATTTTAGCAACCTGATCTTTTGACTTAACTTGAATTTGAGCAAATTATATATTTATTATTTAAATATTGAACATTTTTAATTTTGGACAATTCAACACTTGAAATTTGTTTCTGGAACTGTAAAAGGTTTTTTAAATTGCACCACTTGAAATGACTTCACAGATGGTAATTCAAACCACATAAAATCAGACAAATTCAGGTTTTCAAAGTAAAATATTTCAATGCTGTAAATACACTGGTATTTCATTTCAACATTAAATATTTAGGTACTCAGGTGCTTGCAAGATTCAAATTAGTTTGGCTTTACTTTGCTTCCATATTGTGCATAGCCACATGGCCACAGAAAAGTATGTAGAAAATGACAGCCACAAAAACACATCTACAGCTTGTCCACTATCAACAATATCAGTGTGATTCTAATGCATGTCAGTTTGTGGCAGAAAAAATTAACCAGATATCTTGCAATATGACAAGAGTCATAATATGAAAAGGATGAAATATTCCAGTTTGACAGTTGCCCCAAGGCCACCAAAGAGGATTGCAAGGGCTGTTAATGAAATGATACTAACACATTTGTCCACACAAACACACAAACGAATTAAAAATAACTTGAAAGTATGATGAACAGATCGTATGTGATGGGAAAAAGAGGCTCAGACAATCATTCTGATTTCATCTGAGCGCAAACATGAGTGGACCACATGATGAGTAAGCTTTGTGTGACTCACTGCTGGTCAATCAGAGAACAACACAGACTGAGAGAATAAAAACATAAAGCAAAATGGAGTTGTAAGCATGATGGTAAAGAAATTGTCGCAAATGATTGTATGCAAGTTGTTGCTCTGCATTTGTATGTGCGTGTATGTGAGAGAACGGGAGAGGGAGTGTTGACTGTATATAAAGATGGATGACATGACAACTCCCAAAAAGTGAAGCCAAAACACAAGATAGGACGCTGGTGGCTGGCAAACACCGCCCCGTCCTTGTTAGCGGATGGGAACAAGATGGTGGAGCCCATATCCGGGACATTTGGGCTTTATTATGGTACTGTAGGAGGAAGTGGAGATGTGTCGTCCATCTTTATATGCGGCCTATGAGAGGGAGAGTGATGGAGGGTTTGTGGGAAAAACACAGCGCAGAGAAATGGCAGTTTAATTAGCAGCAAAGGGCTTTAATTAGATACTAATACGAGCAGTGAAGGGACTTTAATTAGTTGCTGGTGGCTGCAATAGACCGAGCAGATTGCACATAGTGGACACTAGACTAATGGAGAATAGGAAGTGAACTGGTGTTAATGGGTCTAGAGTGAGAGAGGGGAAGGAGATGAAGCAGGGGTGGAGGGGAAATGGGTAGGGTTGGAGGATGTGAATGCCAGAGGGTTGAGCAGGGTCACAGAGTGTAGCGTGACAGGACGAGCTGTGAGAGGAAAGGGGATGTTGAGAGCTTTTAAAAAGGGGTTGACAGAGGTTGGAGACGGAGTTGCGTTGGGATTAGTCGGAGCAGAAGGAAGGCGGGGATCATGGAAAAAAGGGTAAACCGTTAAGATGGGGTTAAAGAAAGGAAGATGGCGAGAGGTCAGAAGCGCACATCCCCACAGTTATGAAATTTAAGTTTTACATTTTGGTTATTGGACCAAAAATTAAATGCCAGTAAATTGTTTTTAATTGTTCTTTTTCTAATTACAAATGGATCAATTGTAACCGAAATAGATTTAGGTTAAATAAAATAAAAAATTCAAGTTAAAGCAGAATTTTTCTGTGTTGAACCCAACCATGAGCTTTCCCTAACCTTACCAAGTGCTATGAGTGCCTAGAATTTGAACAATCCAATTTCAGCAACCTGATCTTTTGACTTGAATTTGAGCAAATTGAATATATAAATTTATTGTATATTTATAATTTATATATTACATATTTTTAATGTTGGACAGTTCAACACTAGAATTTTGTATCTGGAACTGTAAAAGGTTTTTAAAATTGCACCTTTTGAAATGACCTTCTGGAAATTTCACAGATGGGAATTCTAACCACATAAATTCATACAAATTCACGTTTTCAATATAAAATATTTCAATGCTGTAAATACACTGGTTTTTAATTTCAACATTAAGTATTTAGGTTCTCAGTTGCCCGCAAGATTCAAATTATTTTGGCTTTACATTGCTTCCATAGTGTAAATATGGCCTGGTTCAACACAGGCCATGAGCTTTCCCCAACCTTACCAAGTGCTGTGACTGTCTGTAGTCACTCTGATATTGTTAAGATTAGATATTTTGGTGGGAAACACATTAACTACATTGTCAGTCAACACTTTTTGTATTTTTGTGACTTCACTTTCCAGATATTTTAATTAGCAGCATTTCCTCATGTTAAGAGAGAAAGTAATCTGCTCAGGATTGTTGCATGCATTTGCTGTTGCAAATTAGTTGTATAAACACAATTTATAGAAGACAGGAATGTGCCAGCTAATTGCTAACTTTGTCTGTTTATTTTACCGCATATTGATTGTGGCAGCTTAAATTTTTACTTCTGGAGCGTTAAGCTTATGCTAAATTTCCACCAGACACAACCTGTTCAATAATACAAGTTACTTATCAGACTTGCTGCAACATCACACCACATCACTACAGGTCATTTAAAAGGCAGACATCTGATCAGTGTGAGTGACAAGTAATGAGGTGAGACTGTCACCAGTTGAGAGGAAGAAGAAAAGAACTTAAAAATGCACTTAATTAGCTAAGGAATGATCAAACCTACTTACTCTTCACTTCATACTCTCATTCTTGTGGTTTCAGTCATGTTCTCCCATTATAGACCTTTTTTCACTGCAGACATTTTGATTAATGCAGCAATCTGTGATGCCATTAGTAACACCTGTATTTGACAAGTTGAATCGCCTGCTGTGATGAAGATCCATTATAGAAAGCAAGACATTGCATTTGAATGACAACCGAGGTGGGATGTTCCCAAACTTTTAGCCAGAGGGGGAATGTGGGGGAAATAAACGTTGGCCAGGAAAATGAGTGAATTAGAGAGAAAGGCATTAACATGAAAGTGATAGAGGAAGGTGGAAAGAAATAAAATACCCAAATAGATTCAGCTAAGGAGAGAGAAACAGTGTACAAGGTTGATGTGGATGAGCCGGGACAGTCCTGTCTGACACACGCTGCTGCAACTACACGTGCCCTTTTCCTTTTCCTTTTCCTTCGCCGTCTCCATCAGGCCCTCCAGGTCCTTCTGCTTTGTCTGAGCTGTCTGACCAGATGCCTGCTGTTTGTTTAACAGTGCGTCTGGCTGTGTGGTTGTACAGGGAGATAGAGACTGGACAAAAAGACAAGAAAGAGAGAGACAAGTAGCAGAGCGCTAGAGAAAAAGGGTGGTATTGAGTAGGAGGGTAAGAGAGTGTTTTCCTCTTTTCGCTTACCCTGTTGGAGAGCAAGCAGTGCTGGGATGTCACCTCGGCTGGAGACGGTTCAGAAACACCAGCCGACTGATTGTGACACTGTGGGGAAATGGTCTCCTCCTGTGAACCTGAGTTATTCCTGCATCACTGCAGATGCTTCTTTCATAAGCCTTTAACTTCACAAAGTAGAAATTGTAGAATTATGTGACTTTATACAATAATGTGGCATTTTATTAGCATTTTATTTATATGTACTTTATTATCTCACAACATATTTGATGTGATCAATTAATCTTTTTTCAATGTGCTCTATGTATCATATCTGATTTAAATTATATGACTTAAATACTCAAGAGAGAAACTTTGGTGAAATCTACTGTTTTACAGACACATGTTTGCCTTTTGTCTGCTGCATTAAAGCTGCTGTGACCAAAATTATTATTTGTTTAAAATATAATTGTTACAATGCATACAGTGGCACAATCACATGCTCACTCATAGTGACTGAAAAGTTTACTGATGACTGTATTTAACATGAGCGTACAAAATATTAGTGACACTTGCTTTTTACCTTGATGAGGTTTGTGATTCCAGGTGAAGCTATTTTCCCTACTTCCCTAATTAAATTGAAACTAATCTCAAAGAAAGACAAGTATTGGGACTCCGTTCAAACATACAGGTAGGTAATTACAGGGGGAAATATTCAATAAACAACAAAGGTCAGAGGTTTTTGTTGTTGTTTTTGAATGTGAAAAAAGGCTAGATAAATCTCCACCATGGATTTACTATTGTTAAGGTTGATGGTAAAAAAGGAGGATGGTACAACAGGAAAAGATACAGAAAACACTTGTTAAAAAAGATCATTGTAAGATTGGTGGTGGAAAAATAATAAGTGTGAAAGAAAGAGTAAAAAAATTGAAGAAATCTCCTGTTCTTCCCCAGTCCAGGCCGTTGGGTGGAGACTCCTCCTCAGCTTTTCTCTGCATCTCGCTGAATCAAAAAATACATTTAAATAGATTCACTGGCTCTGTCACACTGAAGCACATCAAGCAGCCAAATTACATCCGTGTTTCTCTTCTCTTCTCTTCTCTTGTCCTTTCTCCTCTTCTCTTCTCTTCTGGTGACACTCCCTCATATCATGTCTGAAGCTTTTAAACATTTCATGCTGAGCTGTCTCTCTCTCTCTCTCTCTCTCTCTCTCTCTCTTAGTGGTCCATATCTCTTTAATTTCACCCATCACACACTCTCTACATTGTTCTCTCCTATAAAACCTACATTTATACTCTACATACCCTACATTTATATACTATACATTATTTCTTCTTTCTTTTCTCTCTTTTTTGTGCTTTTGGAGGCTCCTACTGGCCCGTGAAAGGCATTTTATCACCACAGTCAACCTCGGCAGACTTCACTTACCCAATGACAAAACTAAACAAAACCTCTTGGCTCCTGACCTGCTAGCTGCTATCATACAAGGCACTTTTCTACATTTATAATCAGCAGCAGTGTTGCAGCACACATTACATCAGACACACTGACACATTTGTCCACTCTGACATCACATTTCCAAAATAGGCTGAAACTAAAGCTCTAATACACAACAACAACATTTAAAACATCACACAACACAACTTGTGGTCAAATTAATATATTCTTCAACCATTACACAGTAGACCACAAAATACAACTATCAATATGAACCAGTTCAACCTTCCAGTAACAAAACAACAAAGCATTTGGTGCTCACTCTAAGGTGAACTAGACAGCCTACCAGGTTGTTTTCTATAAAAGGAAATAAGAAAACTGTCTTTGTTTCTTTCTGTTTTGTCTCCCACCATCTTCCTTGGTGTGCATGTATGCCAATGCATATCCACACAGCTATAAGTGTGTACGTGTGTGTGTATAAACATGTTAGAAGCAGATATAATAGTAGTTTATAATATAAGATATATAGTAGTAGGCAGGTAAGTGGGTAAGAGGAGTGGATATGTTGCAGAGTAGATACAAATACATATTATGCTGCTGAATACTAAAACATGTATGCGGTCACATTCACTCATGTAGGTGAATGCGTTCCATGCATGCATGCATGCACTCATTTCTGCCCATCCTGTCATTTGTTACATTATAAAATGTCACTATGTTTCATATCTGACAGGGTTTTACAAAAGGTGAATTTAAGGAATTTGGACAAACAAAAAGAAGATCCTTCGGATGCATATCTGTATGTTGTTTTCAGTGATCGGGTAAAAACAAAATTAGGCCTACCTAGGAATTGAAGGTTATGAGATGTTCCCCCCCTAAACTAAAATAACATTAAAAATCAGATTAAAGATGTTTCAGTAAAGGTAAATGCATTGCCATGTTTACTTCAGTGTATGATATCTAAAATCCACTACCACTGCAATTTTTCTTTCAAAGATGATGTAGTAGTCACTCTGGACTTGCATGCTCAACAGTGCCATTCCATGAAGTGCTGCTGTGCATTAATCGCTTTCCATTATTTGAATTGGGCAGACTCTGCAGCCTTCAAGACTCTATTATAGAGCGGCTAATGCTTTAAGCTGCCTGCACATTGTTATGCGTACAAAATCAATTAAGTGACTAAATAGGTCATTTATAGCTCAGTGAAAATTTGTGATCTTATTGTGTGTGCATGTGTATATGTATAGGTGCGTGTGCTGCATCTTTTCCCCTAGACCTTGAGCAGATAATATGGATATAACTCTTTGAGTTAGAGATATTGAGTGTTTCGTTCCTTTTTTTCTCCAGCAAAATGTTGCCACATTTTCACAAATCCACATTATTACACAACTGTGTTTACACAGACAAATACAGTGGATAGATAGATAGATAGATAGATAGATAGATAGATAGATAGATAGATAGATAGATAGATAGATAGGTTTCTAGGAATGTTTAAAACTTCAGACAATTAAAAGTACAGTTGCAACTTGGACTTATACAATTGCAAGACTGAATATGAGAATACACGTTAAAATAGACAGACTAGAGCCATAGAGCCAAACTTATCACCGGTGACTCACTGTGAGTCAGGTCGCCAGGTTTGGCCCTTGGGTGAGCTGGGGGTGAGTGGGTGGGTGTGCAAGACGCGGGGACGGAGGGAGGGGAAAGGCGGGACATGCAGAAGTTGTTCATGCCGGGAGAGCGCACCGCGAGTCCAACCTCTCCACGCACGGGAGCGCAAGGGAAAATGTCGCTCTAATCTTAAGGCTTCACAGACGTCTGTTGTAGGCTACTGTCAAGACTTAACTGACAAGACGATCTTTTATCCGCAGAAAGCGTCTTCAAGCGCCGATGTATCGATGAATTTCTCCGGGAAACTGACAAGCGCCGTCCTGCTGGTGCTCCTCGCAGCGCAAGGTAAGACACCGCGCGCCGTGGGTCGGTGCTGGGCTCGCGAAAAGTAGCATTATACTCGTTACTTACAGAATACCATCACCACCATTGAGGACTCAAGTGAGTGTTGACGAGTTACCTTGCTCGGTACATTACTTTTAAGTTATCTTTAGCCACCTCCACCTCAAGTTACCTCCCATGTGCGCTTCAGGGTGAAAGATCAGTAAAAAAACAAACATCAAAAGCCTTATGAGAGCAGTAAGAATAATTCCATCCGGACAAAGAAGGCAAACTTTACTTCTGTCATTAACCAAGAAGGATGACAGCGACACTTAATGGCAATCACGTTGTTTGTTTCATTGCTGCAACTATTGTTATAGTTTTGCTAAATTGTTTATTGTCTGCTTTCTAGCAGAAGGGACCTACAAACTGCATTTCATTTTACAACCCATGTGGTAATATCACGATTAAATTTACCTTATTAGTGCAAATATTCAACATTCAACAAAGTAAGCTGTGCTTCCTTTTTTGCACCCTACTTGCTGGTCCATCAATAAACTATGCTCTTTATCTTAGAATGAAGGAGACAACATTGTTTTTTTTAGTTACATTGAAGGGATAGGTATTATGGGGCCTGGGTGCAGGGTTCAAACAAGGTATTTTAAAATGCACACATGGTTTAGTTTTCTTTACACATTATAATCTGCAATCGCGAGGTGACATACTATATGGCTGATACCTCAGCCCCTGGAGCTACTGTGAAGCAGCCATCCATGTACAAAACGAGCAAACGTTTAGGCATACGTTTCTCCAATGACTGTGAATGTTGATTTCATCCCTGGATGCTCCAGATGTGGAAAGGCTGTGGGCTCTCTCCAACAACAGAGGTCAGAGGTCAGGGTAGGCTACTTGAATGACATTCTAGATCCTGATATTAGCAGAAAGAATAAGTGCAAATTAAAAGGGAAACTCTCATTTTCCCCTGTGGTTTGATTTAATGTTTGTGACATTAAATCACAACTCCAGCACTCTGTCTGGTTGTCTGTATTTTGTTTTGCTCTCTGTGTGATCCATTTCTTTCTTTTCTCTTGTTGCCAAAATCACCTTTATCCATATTTTCTATTTAATTCTGTCTCCTAGTGTGCTTTAAAGTGGCGTATTTTGAAGTGGGGTCCTTGAGTGGCTCCCAGGGGACCCGAAGCAGAACAAAGAATAGATAAATGGTTTAAAGCAAAACTTTGCGCTGCATTCACATATAACTGAATGGTTATTTTAATCCTGATTTTCATCTCATTCACAAAGAGTAAACAGATGCAGGTTTCTCGGGAGAGCGTCTTTGTGGAGGATAAAATAACTTACTTTAAAGTGATAATATAACTCATGGTAGCAAGTGATCACTGATGTTTTTTTCAAGACCTGTCAGTCCAACAGAGTGATATGTAGGCCTACCGTAAAGTCTTTTTATGATGATTTTCTGCTTCTGAAATTTGAGTTTCTAAACTGCCAGAGCAGATTTAGTTAGAAATTATTTAAACTCCCCACAAAAAATCATTGCCATAGAATCAACATAATAAATCCCAGATACGGGAACTGCATCTAAGCTACTAACAATTTTAGCTTTCTTGAACCTTTTAACTAGTTTCAGAAAATAACCTTTATTTTAATTAATTAAAATTCATTGTTCATGGGAATTAAATGTAGCATATCTCTGTTTCGCAACAGCTACCTGCCTGTCCTTCTGTAAATAAATCAATTTATAATTTAACTCATTTTAATATGTTATCTAAAGAAAACCAAGCCTCACCAAATGAATTTCACCAGAGTCAACAGCTGGGATGGCAGATAGGCTACTTCTGCTAAGTTAGTTACCATTAGCATACGTTTAGCTGGGGTTTTGTTCTTCAATATTACTGCCTCATTTAACTAGCTGTTATGTGGGATAACAAACTGAATAACCAAGGTGTCTGTTCATTGAATTCATAATTCTCAATTACAGATGGCAAGAAAGCAAAAAATCAGGATACTTTAGTTTATTTTGGCTAAGGCTAGCCGCGGCTATCTCACCAGCTAACTTTCACTTGCTTTAGCTGCCCATTGGCTGTTTCTCTGGACATTTTTAAAGCTGTTTGCACAAGTTTATAATGTGATATATAGTAAAACAGTTGTCATAAAGTCGGACTCGGATCTTAACATAATTTTGACCAAATCTGTAGTTACTGCATTTTTCAGAGCGGTATTGGTGACACTCTTGATTTAATTCTTCTTTAGTTTATCTCATAGAAAGCAGACATTTTTCCTGTGAATGACACCGTGTGCTTTGAACAGGAGGAGTAATTATTCTGGCTGTAGGTTGAATCACTGCCATGCTATATGGAAGGTTTGTGATTTTGTTTTACTTTAAAGCCCAGAGTGCAGCACTGAGTTTGTCTCAGATGTAGTACCTGGAGGCCCCCCTTCGGGAGCAGCACTAAGTGCCTTCATACGGTCACGCTCCAGTCGTCATGTAAAAGACACTGGCTTCACACATCCTGTAGCCTGACACTGACTCAGAGTCAAGGGAAAGGGATGCGTCTCCGTAGGATGGACTTTCTCACGCTCTCTTTCATTCTCTTCAGCTGGAGAGATTTGGTCCAGCTGACTGCTTTTTTTCGCTTTGCCCTTGAACTGGGCAAATTTCAAAAGGAACAAGAAAGCGGTGCTGTGAAGGGATGACAGTGTCAGTGCTCTCCACAGCAGAACAGATTTTGCTCAAGTGAGAGGAAATCTACTTCTGTGTCCTTGCTAGTTAAAGGTGGTTAACTTGGCTATTAGGGGGATAAAAAACCCTGAAAAAGCCCTCACACTTTTCATACTGTCCTCCACCTCTCCTCTCCACCCTCATTTGGCTTGCATGATTCTATGCAGGTGCTTATATTCAGATAACTGCCTGAAAAATACACACACACACACACACACACACACACACACACACACTCCCAGTGGGGGTCCGATTAGTGGGCTACAGAAGGTATTGTCTCTTGCCATCCAGGATCGGGTGATTTGTCCCCATAACAGAGGGATTGCTGATTCTGCTATTCCATGGGATTGGAGTATTTTAGACAAAAATAGAATCTGGTCGGAGTAGCTTGGAGGTGAGGAGTGAGAGATCGGTATAAGTCACAAGTCGGTAAAAGTCTCAGCCTGTGTGATAGATTGTAGTGCACATCAACATATTTCAGGACGGGATAGATTGAGTGATTAAAATAAGTGAACTTGCGTGAAGCATTTTCCCAGTGGCATCTTCCCTGCGAGAGATGTTTAGCTGCTCCTGCATTATACTGATCTGATCCCCATTGTGTTTCAGGCTTGACCCTTTATCTCACTAGCTGCAGCCGCGTATTGACAGTACAAAGAGAATCTTCATTTTCAAACAAGTTCTGCTCAAGAGAGCAGCAAGTGCAACCTGCTAATTATTTAAAAAAAAAATAAAACAACTGACTGTGAAAGTCTTCACAAGTGAATGTCTTAAAACAGTGGAGGCTGCTGTGTGGCCAACTAAAGGAAACAATCAAACATTCTTTATTCCACCAGCATTGGAAAATGGTTTATATTAAGCCCCTGTAGCTTTTATCTAAGTCTGCTTGTATGGCGCTGTCTGCTTGCATTGCAGCACTATTTGCTCCTCTGCCAGACTTAAATGCTCTTCTGAGCTGAGGGACTACAAAGCAGCTCTCTGGTTTCTCTTCCAGAAGCAATATTGTTGCATAAAAGTCTGACAGGCAGTCAGTGTGTATGTGTGTGTTACCGTGCGTGTGGCTTAAGGACTGTGTGGTGGCTTGAAGATCCTCTTAACACGATTGTCATGTGATTATTGCAACCGAACCCCTCCGCTTCTTCCCTCGCACACACATGGTGTATCCACCACAGGCAGATGCAGAGGCCTTATTCAACCCCCCCCTCCCTATGGATTGGCTTAAACCATAACACTCACATCCAAGCACGACACCACAGACACACACACACACACACACACACACACACATGCAGACATCGTCTTCCAGACAGCTCTGCTGCCTGATTCCTCTGGGACATCCTGGTCTTCCGTGCTGGCGATGAACTGAGTCATGCTTCAGGATGGAGGGAGAGAGGATGAGAAGTAGAAAGCTAGAGATGATGGAGGACGGATATTTGAAAATTTTGCATCTACTTTTATTCCCTATACTTCCTCCTTACTGTCCACCTTTTTTATTGATTGACCTCAGTTTGTCATTTGATGGTTTTTTTACACCACGTGTTTGCTCATGTGACCTAAGCTCTTCGAGACCCCAAGTTGTAATTGTATCATTCAGGCCTTCAAAATATGTCATAGCTTCCTTAAAGTCATGTTTGGCAGAACCTTAGTGTATTTGGTGTCTTGGTACTGGAACAGCAGCCCTATCTCCTAGAAATTATGTTTTCTATTATCGTAATAAGGAAATGTTGTTAATTAACATACCTGGCATCTTGCAAGGACATTTATGCTGAACTTATCAGTAAAATGTTCACTGACAACATACATTTGCAATACACTATCCCCTTGTAGTGACTACATCATTACTTAGCTTATTATGGTTATTTTTAGGCATTGGCAATGAAACAGAAAAAAATTACCAGTTCAGAATCCATCAGTAACAGTGTGGCGCGTAAGTAAGCCCTCCATTGATCCATCCAGCCATTCATCTGTTTTCCACTCACCTACCCAAGACATGGAAAAACAGTGCAGCCCACCATCCTTTCTTTAAGAATATGCTTCCTCTTGATGGATCCTGAGGAATTTTCAGTTCAGTGGGGGAAATGTAATCTCCCCAGCATGTCCTCGGTCTGCCCCAGAGTCTTCCCCACTTAGTGGCACAACTCCAGAGGGAGCAAGCTGCTGGGCATCTTTATTGCCATCTTGAGTGACTCCTGTCAGTATCGAAGAGAAGGATCTCAACATTGAGAGGCGCCTGTTGCCTCAGTTCCTTACTCCGCCTGGACGAATAACTATATATCAAGTCCTACTAATA